CCCTGTCCCTCACTTACTCGTCACTGCTGAGGCATCGAGATTGATGGCCTCAGTGGGTTTTCTTTCTTCTTTTTTTGATTGGACAGCATTGACCAATGGTGCTTTCCCAGATAGCAAGGATAACTTGCCACAAACTTGTGGCAGGGTTAAATTGTAATTCTTGTTAACATGCTGCACACATTCCCTGACAAGTTGTAGACTTGCAGAACACTTGCAGCACAGGTTCTAGTTGACACTTTTTGAATTTGTAGCAAATTTGCTTGGCAAGTCTACAGCAAGAGTCCTGTAAGTCTTAGCAAGAGCTCTGCAAGTGTACAGCACTTTTGGAAAGCACATCGATCTGGAGACTTGCAATGCAGACTTGCTGTAATTGTGCAACACAATTGTGAAGCTTGGCAAGTCTGCAATAGTTTAGCAAAGTAAACCAACAGTACCTGCCAGTCAAACTCTACCTTTATACACCAGCATTACCATCCAGTCAGACTTTGTGTGGTAAACCAGCTGTACCAGCAGCTCAGACTCTACTTACCAGCATTACCAGCAAGTCAAACTCTTTTATAGTACACCAGCAATACCCACCAGTCAGACTCTTCTGTAGGATAAAAAATCATGTAAACCCAGCAAGCAGCTCATATAATAACTACTGTGAAATAATAGCAGTCCCTTGTAACCTTTTGTACAGTAGAAACTCAGAATGGGTGGTGGGGGGAGAGTTCTATGCAGTGACGTGTTGTACCTTTGGTTCTGGGTGAGGCATTCCCCAGCCTCTTCCCCAGCATGCCCCGCCCTGCCCCTAGCCTGCCGAAGCCCCGCCCATATCATGTCACAGACCGCTGAAGCCCCGCCCCCGATCCGGTACCCAAGCTAGTGTGAAGGAGGAAGGGAGGAGACAGGGAGGAGCCTCCCTGTCCCTCACTTACTCGTCACTGCTGAGGCATCGAGATTGATGGCCTCAGTGGGTTTTCTTTCTTCTTTTTTTGATTGGACAGCATTGACCAATGGTGCTTTCCCAGATAGCAAGGATAACTTGCCACAAACTTGTGGCAGGGTTAAATTGTAATTCTTGTTAACATGCTGCACACATTCCCTGACAAGTTGTAGACTTGCAGAACACTTGCAGCACAGGTTCTAGTTGACACTTTTTGAATTTGTAGCAAATTTGCTTGGCAAGTCTACAGCAAGAGTCCTGTAAGTCTTAGCAAGAGCTCTGCAAGTGTACAGCACTTTTGGAAAGCACATCGATCTGGAGACTTGCAATGCAGACTTGCTGTAATTGTGCAACACAATTGTGAAGCTTGGCAAGTCTGCAATAGTTTAGCAAGTCATTTTCAAACTTGCAGCTCAATTGCTTGGTATCTGGGTTGCCATTGGTCCAAACCATCTACAGAGCTCACCCCTCTAACATAGAGTAGAGGCTGCGACAGCTCTTGCCTCACTAGTTAGGTTACACAACAGTGGGGAAGCACGCTAATGTGTAACCTTACTACCTGTTAAAATCCGGATGCACCGCTGCCTACAATAAACAGGCAGTGCTTCATCCATGACAGGTTACACAGCGGGGAGGATTTCCCTGCTGTGTAACCTGTAACAAGACGATCTGAATGGAGAAAAAGCTGTCAGCTTCAGATTTGTAGCTGACAGCTTTTTCCTCCATAATACTAGGCGAGGCTCTGCCTCACCTGCCTCCCCTGACCGCATGTCCCTGGTCCTATGGGCACATCAGGTTCAGCTGTATGCACTGTACTGTTCAAAGGAGAAAACAGAATGAGCAGAGGAATGACCACAGCAGTCTGCTGTTTCTTCACTGTTAAATCACAGATGCCTAGATGAAACCTAGCACTACCTCTGATATATAATGAACCACTTTGCCTCTCAAGGAAACAGTTCTGATGTTGACAATATAACGTTCTTAAAGACGAACTGTTATCTTAAAAATGACAACAAAGACATCTTTATAAATGTTTAGTAATTACAATCTACAGATACGTCTACATAATTGCAGGCTTTTAATATTTGCATACCTTATTTTTCTTTTCCTCCCCAGTCTTCTGACAGTGGCCATTTTCACTGAGGGCAGATGAATCCATGAATCTTCCTGGAACTCTGCATCTGCCTCCTGGAACATGTGACCATGCACATCATCTCTGAAGGAAAAAAATCCTTTCCCAGTTTAAAGATGAGATTTCCCAGGAAGGCACTGGTGATGTACCCTTCCGAGGATGCATCTTTGAGTCCTGGACTACATCACCAGTGCCTCACTCAACTAGGAAGTGGAAAAACATTAATGAATGTAAGATTATTTCATATCAGCATGCAGAGGTGTATATGCATGTGATTTTTAGTGAAAGCCTTGTTCACACCAAATGCAGAGGTTTCTGCACATGCAGTGCAGTGGGTTGTGCCGCGTTTTTGCCGCGTTTTTGCCGCGTTCCGGCCGTTTTTGGTTAAAAAAAACTATTTTTTTCCCTAGTTTAACATAGGCTTTCAGTGCGTTCCAGTCATTTGCATGCATTTGTGATGCGTTTGCATGCATTCCAGAGCAGTTCCAGAGCAGGTAAAATAGGGACTGCTGCAGTTTTTTCACCTGCTTTGGAACTGCACGCTGTGATGTGAACTGGAGCAAAAAATACCATTGGAATACATTGGACGCAGTTTTGATCCGGTCTGCAACTGACCTGCTCTGCACCTGCTCCGTGCTTGGTGTGAACAAGGCCTCAGTCCTGCTGACAGACAGGAAGTGAGAAAAAATATGCAATAAGGACACAGACACCAGACTTCCTGTCTTGTGAAATTATGTTAGCAGTAGAGAAGGTTAAAGAAAAGCTATAGCGCCCAAAAACACATAATAATACCCATTACTTTTGTAAAACATAAAAGATGATGTTACAATGAGTAAATAGATACCCAACATGCCCAGGTTAAAAATTGCATGCATCCATAAAATGGCGACAACATATGGTATGCCAAATTGTCCATAGGCAATGCTTTAAAAGCCCATAAAGGTCATCAGTTTAGAGGTATCCATAAATATTGGCCCTAGAATTATTGCTCTCACTCTGATGCACATGGGTATACCTAACATGTGTAGCGTGATTATAGTTTCTGTACATAGGCGCACCTGACACATTTTTACGTTAATACGCGCGCGCCTGCGGGGGCTTTTCTCATTTATTTTTACATTTGTTGTATTTAATCTTGTTTTTTTTAAACTTTCTTTTACTTTACTTAATTTCTATCACATAGGAGGGACTTACTGCTTGCTATATGATAGCATACTAGTGGTGACAGGTACTCGTTAAGGTGACATCAGGGGTCAATTAGACCCCTAGTCTCATCTTTGCACTCCACGGAGGGCGCACTTCACCGGCCCCTGGAAGCGATTCTGGCGGCGGAGCCAACAGTCGTGCGTTACATATATATAAACAGAGTCCTGGCGGCCGTTTACAGGGGCCCACTCCCAGCAACGTAGGACATATGTCGGTGGCAGCGAAAGGGTTAAAAGATGATGATGATGTGATTGAATTGATAAATTCCCCCCGTTGTGTTTACAATGGATGTGCCAATGAATAGCTGTTTTTAGATCTACAATGCGGGGTGTAGCAGGTTAATTTATAAAGCTAAGTGCCGTAGTTCCAAGTCTACACACGCAGGATCATTTGATTTAAGTTGATTCCTGATTGAATTAGTTGCTGAACACACGTTGCCTCATTGAATACATCCACATGCTCCTGTGGGGAAAATGTGTCTGATAACTGTGACAGGGGTTGAGGAAAACTATGGGAATGGCAGGAGTGCTTACAGTGGTTACCTTTTCATGCACATGGTTTATCATTTGTTGTGCTGCATACAGAGAAATATAATGCAGGTCAGATGCAACATTAAAATGGTCATCTGCACCGTCACACTGAGGTGAATGAAAATCTGCTGACGTGCATTTCAGACGCAGTTTAACGATTGTGTACACGTGCCATTAGAGCCCATACACACCACAGCGTTGTGGTAATAAGTGCTACCACAACACACATTAATGTACTAGCCTGGCTGTGGTCCATTTCCATGCCATTCACTTTAAATAGCACCCCGAAGTATCTACACAGCACCCCAGAATGCACAATGTGCACTTCAGTGAAAAAATAAAAGAACGGGCCTTTTTTATTATTATTTTGTTTTCCTGCATTGGGGCCACATTAGAATTCATGTAATTACAGGGTTAAAGTGAACATGTATTGAATTAAAACACTGCCACAAAATGAAAATGTACCAAAAGGCATAAAAAACAGTTTTCATTATAAATACAGCCATCTGACCACAGAAAATCTGCAGATAATTGTAAGGTGTATGGCCACCTTAAGAGCAAGCTGTCAGAGGATAACTTTGTTTTAACCTAGACACAAATGAGCACTTAACCCTTGCAGTGCGGGGGTAGCCCCACTGCAAGGGTTAAGAATTTTGTTCCCTGGAGTTCTTCTTTAAAATTAGTATGTGGTGAGGGGTTACAAAGTCTGTTTCTATTGCTGTATGTGTTCCTATTGATAAGATGCACCCAGTCTATTTGTGCTGGTGACAACTATCACTGTCACTTTAAAGATATTTCCTCTCACTTCCTGTTGTGTCTACGTGGCAGGGAACTAAGGGAAATCTCAGAAATGAAATCTCAGATGTAAACAAAAACCAAACAAACAGGGTTTTATCCATTTGTCTTTTTATATATATAGATCTATATATATACATTAAAAAAGGCTTTTGATATGTTTAATTTTGTGACAGTGTTTCTTTAGTACATGTTCCATATAACCCTGCTATTACATTAATTATATATAAATACCAACGAGCAAACAAAGATGTTTGCTAAAAACAAAGTGTATATTCTATAAAATAAATATACACATCAATAAATATCTCCACATGGCTTTGACTGAAAGGCTCTGATTGGCCCATGACATAGGTCAATAAAAGGCTGTGACGTGGGGCGGGCCCATTGGCCTAGTGTTTGTTTGGAGATGTTACGGTCTGCAGGTTTCTTCCAGCTTCTCCCCTGCCCCTATACCAGGGGGTCTGGGGGTTGTGCTCGCCCACACTGCCACTTCCAGCATGTGTCACCCAAGGTACTCGGGGAGCAAAGTGGAGATGTCAGTAACAGTCCCAGTGTATTGGGACCACCTAGAGAAGCCCTGGGTGAGAAGCGCTCCATCTGCTTACCTGTCCTATATATTTTATTGACGGGGTGTGCTTTCTATACAATCATGTGTTTAGTTGTTGTTGAGCATGCACTGAACATTAGTGTGTTTACAATGGATGTGTCAATGAATAGCTGTGTGTAGATATACAATGTGGGGTGTAGCAGGTTGATTTATAAGGCTAGGTGAGCTGGTGAACTGTTTTTGTGTGACTGTGCTTTGAAAACCATGCAGTTTTCAATACATAGAGATGTCTATGGGACCCAAACCACGCGACAACCGCCCAAAAATAGCTCCTGCACATTTTTGCGCGACAGGCGACTTCATCCGTGCGACAAACCGCAAAGGTGCGAACAGCCTCCATTGACTTCAATGCGAACCTGTGTTTAGCGCGCTAAATTGCCTATGTGTAAACCTAGCCTTAAGCTGAGCAAAGTGCTGCTGCAGCTCCTAACAATTAGCTCCAAGTCTACACATCTGCAGGTCAATGTGGGAAGAGATGATTCCTGATTGTATTGCACATGATGTTCCTGATGCATTGAAATCGGCCACATGCTGCTAAAAGGGCCACTACACTGTTGTGAACATGTCTGCTAACTGCGACCGAGGTTGAGGAAAACTGAATCTGGTAATGTCAGGACTTATTATTATTATTATTATTATTACAGGTATTTATATAGTGCTGACAATTTACACAGCACTTTACATAGTTGCACATTCACAATAGTCTTGTGTACACACATTGCTCTAAAATGCTGCTTGTACACTTGATCAAAGTACAGCTCAAACACAAAAGATCAAGTCTGACCTGCTACCAATCAGCTTCTCTCTTCAGTTTGTTCAGTTAAGATTTGAAGAAAGTGAGAAGCTGATTGGTTGCAATCCACGTCTGCTCCAGTTTTGATAAATTCCCCTCAGTGTCTGACCTGCTTTGCCTATAATGCAAATGCATCTGTAATTAAACCTGTGGAGAAGTGCAATGCATGTTAATGGAGCTTCAAATCTGTCCTCCACACTGTACCTCCTGAGGTGAATGGAAATCTTCTGCAAACCTGGTTTAAAATCACTTATACTCGTCTACACAAGCCATTCACACCACCACATTGTGGCAATATGTGTTACTGTACAAAGCACATTAATGTACCAAGCTGGCTGTGCCATTAACTTAAAATGGCCCTCCAAAGCATCTATACTGCACATCATAATGCAAGGGTAGGCAACCTTGGCACTGCAGCTGTGGTAAAACTACAACTCCCAGTATGCCTTTTGCTTCTGGGAGTCATGCGTGTGGCTTTGAGTGTTTCAATGCTTCATGGTACTTGTAGTTTCACCAAAGCTGGAGTGCCAAGGTTGCTTACCTCAGCCATAACGCTTGATGTGCACTTTATTAAACAAAAAAAAAGTGCAGCAGCCTTTTTTGTTTTTGGCATTGGGGTCACCTTAACGCATGTGTTACTTAAAATTCTCCGATGTGGACAAGCCCTTAAAGTTTATGAACCCTGTCACTTTTCATAGAAAGCATGTAAATAAAATGTATAACGGGGAAGAAAGACATTCTACTTAAAGAACTACTACATACAGGTGAAACTCGAATAATTAGAATATCGTGCAAAAGTTCATTTATTTCACTAATGCAACTTAAAGGAGAACTATGACATGAGTGATTTCCACTCACCTCATAGTTCTAGCCGACCTGTGACAATGAGACTCACAGGTCGGCTCAGTAGATCGGGAGGTGAGCGAACACATACCGGGTTCGCTCACCTCTCGATCCTGTCACGGCTCTCTGCCGTGACAGGGGGAGGGGCTGGATTCCCCTCTCCCCGCTCCGATCTGCCAGCGCTGACTGGCGGAACGGACGGGGGAGGGGGCAGGTACAGCTGGCTCTGCCTCTAGATAGGCAGAGCCAGCTGTCACTCACGCAGCTGGGCGGATCTCGATGTCGGGATCCGGTCCAGCTGCGGCGTCTCAGTATACCGCGAGCTGTTGCTCGCGGTATACTGAGCTTAGGGTAACGAGAGGACGCTAGTTTGTGTCCTCCCGTTACCCTAAGGAGAACTATGGGGAAAAGCCCTGACCCCATAGTTCTCCTTTAAAAGGTGAAACTAATATATGAGATAGACTCATTACATGCAAAGCAAGATAGTTCAAGCCATGATTTGTTATAATTGTGGTGATTATGGCTTACAGCTCATGAAAACCCCCAAATCCACAATCTCAGAAAATTAGAATATTACATGCAATCAATAAAACAAGGATTGTACATAGAACAATATTGGACCTCTGAAAAGTATAAGCATGCATATGTACTTGGTTTGGGCCCCTTTTGCTGCAATTACTGCCTCAATATGGCATGGAAGCTATCAGCCTGTGGCACTGCTGAGGTGTTATGGAAGACCAGGATGCTTCAATAACGGCCTTCAGCTCTTCTGCATTGTTCGGTCTCATGTCTCTCATCTTTCTCTTGGCAATGCCCCATAGATTCTCTATGGGGTTCTGGTCAGGTGAGTTTGCTGGCCAATCAAGCACAGTAATCCCACGGTCATTGAACCAGGTTTTGGTGCTTTTGGCAGTGTGGGCAGGTGCCAAGTCCTGCTGGAAAATGAAGTCAGCATCCCCATAGAGCTCGTCTGCGGAAGGAAGCATGAAGTGCTCCAAAATCTCCTGGCAGACGGCTGCGTTGACCCTGGACTTAATGAAGCACAGTGGACCAACACCAGCAGATGACATGGCTCCCCAAATCAACACAGACTGTGAAAACTTCACACTGGACTTCAAGCATCTTGCAGGAAGAATGGAGAGGCACACACTGCAAGATGCCTCAGCAGTGCCACGCCGCATTGAGGCAGTAATTGCTGCAAAAGGGGCCCAAACCGAGTACTGAGTACATATGCATGCTTATACTTTTCAGAGGTCCGATATTGTTCTATGTACAATCCTTGTTTTATTGATTGCATGTAATATTCTAATTTTCTGAGATTGTGCATTTAGGGTTTTCATGAGCTGTAAGCCATAATCACAATTGTACTGGATATTTACAGTGGAGATGTGGGCTGCAGACAGAAGGGTCTAGATCCCCCTTTTTTTTTTTTGACACTGTCAAAAAAATTAAAACACGATATTAAATGACTTGGTATCATCTCCATTACAGCCACTATTCACACGCTTGCAAAGATACAGCCATCGTTTGAATCTTCAGCATCCACCTCCCCGGCTGTTACCCTGTCCTCCCTGTCATTTCTGTAGACTGTCTCCACTTCCTGCCATAGTGACCCCCATCCTCCTGTCACCCTTTACCTTTATCCTCCCCCTTCCTCTCCTCCTGCGTTGCCCACCCTCTTGTCACCCTACATTCCCATGTCTTCTCTCATGCATGCCCTCTATTGTCACCCTGCCCCCCCTCTTCTGAAACCCTGTACCTCACCTCTCTTCTCACCCAGCATTCTCCTCCCCTGTCAAACACTGATCTGACTATAATACATCCCTCCCCGTGACTCGCATTGCATTCTTTACACCCTGCTCACAGCATGTCTCTTCTGCCTACCTCAACAGTCACACTCACAGTGCATCCTTCCTCACCAACCTCAGCCTCATAGCGCATCCCTCCCCACCAACCTCACACCCGACTTGGTACATCCCAACCAGCCATCTCAACGCGTTGAATCCATCCCAGCCACCTCATGCATTACTCATTGCGCATCCCTTCTGGCCAGAGCATAAACCTCATCTTTCTGGAGTGTGATACTTTTACAGTAGCATTCCCTACATTCCTTGCCATTTCCATTCCCAGGGATGGCAAGCTGCCAAGACTGCTTGGATGTGTTAGCGCTTTGCCCATTCAGAATGATGTTGCTTTCAGATATGGAGGGGATTAATAGAAGCTGGGCACCTCAGGGAGTCTGCAATTCATACCTGCAAGGCTGGTTTTCTGCCAGAGTTCCCTTTTTTTCCAATATTTTTAATTTTTTTAATTTTTTTATTATACATTTCACATAACGTGTTTTCTAAAAACCATATTCCCTTAAGGTAGCTTGGCTTTACTCAGAATTTAGTTTTAATTTGTTAGCCTCTTGCCTAGGAAATTTTAAGAGATTTGTTCCCTTACAGGGAATCCTTGCTTATCTTCTCATGGGTGACTTTGGAACATAAGGAATAATATTACTGGTAATTGTTTCAGGAATCTTCTGGGATGACAATCTGGGTTATTACTCTGTTTTTACTTTTGGATCTGTTCTGTACGGAGTTCCTTTGAAATCATTAAAGTGATATTAAAGCCAATTTTTTTTTTCATTTCTCTAAGGAGACCCTCCTTTGCTGGAGGCTGTTTTTTTAAAAAGTACTTCTTTCCTCATTTCCTAGTGGGTCCCCGCCATGCTCTTAACCCCTCCCGCCCCCTGCACGGGTGCCACCATCGTTCTAATGGAGGCACCCGTGTGCATTCGTCCCCGCAGCGGCCTTGTGCGTCCATAGACACACAGGCCTGTGGCAGGCCACGTCCCTTCCTTCTTTGCTAACAGAATGAGCCCATAGCTCTTCTGCCATCAGTATCCTCCCCCGCAACCCGGAAGTTCGGGGTACAGAGGATAACTTCGGGAGCGGCGGTAGGGACGAGTGCAGCTGAGAGGTAAGTGTGGGGGGGGACTGGGGTAAAAAAAAAGGTCCTGTTTTTACCCTAATGCAGAGAATGCATTAATGTAAACTCCCAGACCTTAATACTACTTTAACCAGTTGACATCCGGGGTGTTAAACCCCCTTCCCATCCAGGCCATTTTTCAGTATTCAGCGCTGCGGTACTTTGACTGACATTTATTCCGTCATGCAGCGCTGTACTGAAATAATTTTATACCCTTTTTTGGGGACACATAGAGCTTTATTTTGGTGGAATTTAATCACCACTGGGGGTTTTTAGTTTTTAATATATTAAGGAAAAACTACAGATTTTTTTTTTTTAAAACAGTTCCCCCTATATTAAATTCTAAAACATTTATTATTACCAAATTTTTTGGTAAAATATAAAAGACGGGGTCACGTCGGGTAAAGAGACACCAAACATGTCAAGCCTTTAAAATTGCGCATTAGCGCGAAACCTCAAAAAAACTACCCGGACTCACGAGCACAGACGAACACGCTCCAGCGTTTACGCCGCACACCATACGGCTACACACCGCCCAGTGCCGATCACAGCAGCCTGACAGTCCTCCCCCTCCTGCTCTAATAGCCGCGGCTCGGCCCGGCCAGCCGAGGACGCAGCCTGGAGAGACTTGGGGTTTATTTAGATCTTAGACCATTTAGATCCTGACCGTCCAGATCTTTCCATCCAGAAACACTTCGCTGACTGCACGGGACTGCAGGGAGTGCATGTCCATCCATGACATCACAACCGTGAGTTATTTATCAACCAATTTATTTAAACAGTCATTACAGTATGCTTAGCATCTAAACAATTTTTTAGGTGGTTGCGCTCTTCTATGTATAATTTTGCCAAACACGTTACACGGGGCTCCTCTCCCGGTTGTTGAAGAGCTTTTGCACACCATTTTCCATATAGTTAACAAGTGAGAAACCTGACCATATTACAGTTGTGCGCGTCCATGCATTTTTTGTTCAAACGTAGTTTTTTTGAGGGAAAAAAAAAAAAAAACGGGATTAAAGGTGAGGGGTCAGGAGGGGGGAGATGGCGGCACTCAAGATGGGGGGGGGGCGCTCCGAAATGCACGCCATCCCACCGATCGGCGGCTATAGAGCCGTTGATCGGTTGTATGTGAAACAGCCGTTAACGGCTGTAGTAATGAGCGGGTCTTTCCTGCCCGTGCGCACGCGCAAGGGGGCACGCGGGAGCAGGAAAAAAATGCAGTCTCACGACGGCAACCCACGGGTGCGAGTCTGCCGTCCGTCCGTTTTTTCTTAACGGGCGGACGGCAAGAGGTTAAGGAAATGTCGTTTTGTGAATCCAGCTTCTGTCTCACCGCTATTTTGAATATTCTCTCTCAGGTTAATGTCCAATTAAGGTCACTGAAATACTGTAGATATTCAGTCAGATCGACATTTTACTAAACCCGCTCCATTTCCACTGAGCGAAAAAAGTATTTTAAGACATTTCCAAGTGATAAAATCAGGTAAACTTAACAGATAAACAGTACGGTATTATAAAGGGAGTGGAAAAAAGTGTGAGACTTAGTTGTGCTTTCCTTTCAAAGTCCTTGGAATAAGTTCTCATTTATTTAATCTAGGGCCTTAGTTCTCAACTGGTGGGTCGTGACCCAAAAGTGGGTCGCGACCCCATGTTTAGTGGGTCGCCGCATGCCTTCCACTTTTCTAGGTGAGAGGCTCCTCAGCCTCCACCTAGCGCAGCACCATCCATTCTCATACCAAGCAGCCACGAGGGAGATCCATCCATATGTGCATTGCTTATAACTTCCTCACATGTCCTGTAGAGGTGCCTGGACCGGTGTGACATCACGTTCTGGCTCCTGGCAGCTCTACAGGCTCGCATGGGAGCTCTACAAGCAATGCACATATGGATGGAGCTCCATCACAGCACAGCAGCCCACACTGCCTTGCGTTCCATTGCAGTGCAACTTGGGTCATGACTTAATGACCGGGGACAAGTGTGGGTCCTGAGGTTAAACAGGTTGAGAACCACTGATCTAGGGGATGTACCAATTTTTTTATGTTAATTTGAGATTGGGCAGTAGAATAAGAAACGTGATAAATGAGCATATCGAAACTTAGTTTGCCAAGCCCTAAAGGGTTAATAAAGGAAAACGGTCAGGATAGAAATAAGGATGCTGCCACTGATGACTTGATTGGGAGGTAATTGTTTCCGGGCAATTGCCTATCTGTTTCACTACTTTGAGTGTCATTGACCTGGGACAAGCCTGTATTGGTAATATAAATGCTTGTTTTAGGACACTCATTTACTAAGTGTTGAAAAAAGGAATAGGATGATGTCCATGGAGGAACTGCCTTTAAAAATTACATAATCATTGGCCGCTTCCGTATTTCTATTATCCGGTTTCTTTATCAATACACCTATTTTTTTGAACTAGGCTTCTGTTATTATGGTAGTTTCATTCTTGCATGCTAATTACCTCAGCATGCAGTCTAAAGGTGCCCATATACCTTACGATTATCGGACGATAATCGTATGCGATCGACTTTTCGTCCGATAATCGTATGTGTGCATTGCAGTGTCCGACCGACAATACTGTACAATTGTACGACTTTTGACGGTCAAGCATGTTTGAAAACTTTGCTAGATCGTACGATTGTCGTAAGGTTGCTGGCATTTCCGTCCGTCAAAAGTCGTACGATGTACACTGCGCTTGCGCTAACGAAAATACGGCAAATCAATTACCGCATTTCGTCCAGGTGCTTTTGGTTAATTACGGCTAAATGATTCTTGCGATCATCGGGGCAGGATGGGGCTGCCGTACGAAAATCGTACGACTATTCGATCATCGGACGAAAAGTTTCGTCCGATAATCGTAAGGTGTATGGGCACCTTAATTGTGATGAAGAGTTGTAGCACCTCAGCACGCCCTCTCAAAACCTAGTCTGGATGAAGGTTATTCAGCTTGTGCTGAAATAACATAGCTTATAGTAAAACTTCACTGTTCATACTTTAATCATTAAATGTAACAGATGTTCCTCGTTGGCACTTTTCTTTTAATTTTGCAAATTACTACTAATTTTCATTTTTTTATAGGTAAAAAATTTAGTGAACTGGAGAAGCTAAAGAAAGCGATTGAGACTGTAAAAAATGAGGTGGAAGAGAGCCAGAAAAAGTTACTACTGTATACAAATGTGACACATACTGTGCAAGACATACTTGAGGTTGACAGTAATTGTAATATATTGGATACCATTCAAGATGAAGAGAAAACTAGAACAAATAAAAATCATGACCGTTTAGTCACCTGCTCAAAGAACAATAAGAAAAAATATGTAGTTGACCGAAGCTGTCCAGCTACAGATCTAGAGTATGATCCATTGCTGAATTATACTGCAGGGTTTTTTAGTTCCAGCACAAAAGAAAATGAAAACAAGACTACAGTGAAACAGAAATGTGAAGAGCTGTTTGATAACCCTCAAAAGAAGCCTAGAACCGTATCTCCAATAAGGCTTGAAATAAAACTTCAAGAATCTGATGATGAAGATATGCTTGTTATTGATGCACCACCACTGGAAGTTGCTCCAAAAAGAAAACGGCCAAGTAAGGTTTCTGTCACTATAGAGAAACAGGGGTCACTGGATGAAGCCGATGTATCCACAGAAGAAAGTGGAGCTACAATGGAATGTGAGATTTTGGCTCCAGTAGATGAGGCTTCTGATACAAATGGTGATTCTGAAACGAATGAAGCAGAAGCTTCTCATAACATACTAACCACCTGTACAAATGATGGTGCCCAGCAATATGAAAATCCTTGTGATGCCCAGATTTCTTTAGCAGAAAATACAACTTCCAATGTAAATGAACCTAAAAATTATGGGGCAGACATTTCAGTAAAGAGTGAAGAATCTGCTGAAGAACAAACAAATGAGATGTTAGAAAATATAGATAAACCGGATTCATTTTGCCTACTTTCAGAAAAGTCTTTGGATTTATGTGACAATGAAGTTGTTCAAAACTCTTCAGTAGACTTTGAAATCACTGAGGAGGATTCTGCTACCACAGCACTGGACATAACCGCTGCTAATACATTACTTATTGATGAGCACAAATCCCAGCCAGAGACCTTATACATACCAAAAAAAGCACACCATGAAGTCATTGTTGTGAATTCATCAACCGATGACAGCTCAGAGGAGGACACAATTTCAGATTCAGAGGACCCCATGGATGAATGTTTGCGAATTTTTAATGAGTTTACTGAATGTGAAGCAAAGAAAAATTCAAACCAGGTATTCACTTTATTTGAAAACAAATAATTTATTTTTGGAATGTATTTTGCAATTAAATGCTTGCATGGTATGTATTCTGATACTATGCACTTAAATGGGAAACACAAGTCACGCAAATCTCACACACAGAAACTTCCCACAGAGTGTCAGCACCATGTATCCATATTTTCCCCCATAAAATAAAGCTGCAGCTGTATGACCTTGAGGCAGCCTAAAGCAAACCTGCGGGGTAGCGCAACACCGCAGAGCTGGTCTTTTGGTTCCACTCTCCAAAACACCTCCATCTTTCTATTAGTCATTCTGCTGGCTAGGCAAGTTGTGATTGCAATGTTATTTATAGATCATCCTAGTATTTGAGGCCACAGGGGTAAATGTATTAAGTTGTCTTATTACACAGTCTCCTAATGACAAAGCCATAAAAAAATCAATAGTAAACATGTTGGAGGTTTGGTGAAATCACCTATTTTTGGCATATGACAATCTAGGCACTTTAGTCTTTGAAGATAAACTTCTCACTGCATACATCTGAATTTAATGTGGCCGCCCCTGAGGGTTATTGTATGGATGAGAGGCAGGTGCATCTAGTCCTTCATGCAACATATGAAATATAATTTGTTTATTACTAAAAGTGACCTATTGAGCATTGGCTTGTTTTTCTAAGGTAGCCAGGCCAATTACAAGTGATACTTAGAATTTTGAGCACTTGGCTTTTTTGTGCCATTTGTTCTGTTGGGTGTAGATTCCACAGTACTGCATTCACATTTGTGTGAGGTGGCTTTGTGGCAGTCATGATATTTTGTCATGGTTAAGGACAGATGGGTGTCTTGACCACCCACCATTGTTTGGTGATGGCCTGATTAAATATGGTAAAGCAAGCATTTTTAGCTTTTTGACTTGCCTAATGAGCAGCCATTTGTTGCATGGGAAAGACCAATTCAGATATTTAAAGTGGTATTACAGTCAATAGATTTTTAAAGAAAAGATGTTAACTTTGCAATGGGGCTACCCTTGCAAGGCTTAAGTGCTCCTTTTTGTCTAGGTGCTAAAATTGCTCATTAGACCATCCAAGCCAGCTCGCCGCTTCTGTGATCACTGAAGCAGGATAATGTCAGGGTGGCTGTCCACCAGATGAAGCTTATTAGAAGTTGGGTGATGCAGCAGGACAATGACCCCAAGAATCGAAGTAAAGCCACCTTAGAGTGGCTTCAGAAAAAGAAAATACACCTTTTGGAGTTGGCCAGTCAGAGCTCAGACCTTAACCCCATAGATATGCTGTGGAATGCTGTTCCAGACATCCTACAAATGTGTCCGAGCTAAAGCGGTTTTGTGAAGAGGAATGGTCAAAAATTCCTCCTGAACATTGTGCAGGTCTGATCCAGAGCTACCGAAAGTGCTCATTTGGAGTTATTGTTGCCTAAGGAGGTTTGACCAGCTATTAACTCCAAGGGTTCACTTACTTTTTCCTATATCATTGTAAATGTTTAATGGGTGTGTTCAGTGAAGACACGATAATTTTGAATTGTTTGTGTATAGCAGCTTAAGCACATTGTGTTTGTCTATTGTTGTGACTTAGATAGAATTGGATCACATTTTATGGCAAGTTATTGCAAAAAAATCAGTTAATGCCAAGGGGTTCACATACTTTTTCTTGCAAGAGTATTTCACAGTAGCTCAGTGGCTACTTGTAAAAATGGAGAACAGATGCTTTCAATCTAATGACTGACCTAATGAGCATGGACTTTGTGTATATAGCTAAAACCTAGGAAAAGCCGACGCTTTGGTCCCCTGTATGGTGGACTTTTTAAACAATGGATTTGTCTGATCAAGACAAAGCTCTTATGCTTTGGGCCTGAAGTATAGTGGACCTATTGGTGGCAATAGCAGAAGCAGATGTTTTGCAACTTCTGAACAGCAGCCTTTCATCCATACGAGGTAAAGTAGGTCCTTCAAGCCTTTGGTAATGTTGGCATGTTGAACAGTTTGTGTCTGTAGGCAAAACAAATGATTCAGGGTCTATGAAGAGCAGTGTAATTGAGGGATTCCATCACTAGTTTTGTCTAGGCTCAGTTTTTTGCTCATACTGAGAGCTGGCATCTGGTGGCAGTTTTCTCAGGCTGGTCAATTTTCAGTAGGAGGTGGTATTCCTTAAAGTGTTATCATACTCTGTTTTATCAGGCAAGATATTTTTTCATTTGATAGGTTGTTAAGCTGTGTCTGTCTTTAAACAGACTGATGCTGCCTGATAATGTAAAAATGCTTGCCTCTAAGTTGAACTCTATTATTGGCTTGAGGCAGCTATACACTGATGTGAATGGTCATACATTCTGAATGATGCTGACTTTGTGAGGTGGGAATATGGCTGTATGTACACAGAATATCCATAGTAGGGGATAGTGATGAGCCTCACATTCCCGTGTTCGGTTCGAATTCAAACTTTTGAACATGGGAAAAGTTCGAATTCTAGCTCAATGCAAGTTCATGGGGGTAGAACTTTGAAAATCAAATGTCCCCATTTTGAAGCCTTATATGCAATTTATTGGCCATAAAAAGTATGGGGATCCGGGTACTGCCCTGGGGGACACAAATCAATGGGGAAAAAAACTTTAAAAAAGCAATGATTTTAACATCACTTAAAGGGTAACAATAAAAATGAAAAATTCCTTTATCGTGCTTCGGTGGTCCCCTTAACTTGCCTATAAAGTGACTAAGTCTGTACGATGTATGCAGCAAAACTGACATTTCTAAAGAAACAAAATTGATTTTTTTTGCATGTGGTTCCCCGTCCCAAACAATACCAGACCCTTTAGCTCTGGTAGGAATGTTAGGGGGGGGGGGGACATGGGGTCCCCCTAAAATTCCATACCAGACCCTTGATCCAAGCACAGGCCTAGCAGGGTAGGAAAGGGGGGGACAAGCGAGGGCATCCTCCCTGCGATACCAGGCCACATGCCCTCAGCACTGGTAGGGTGCTTTTCCAGGGTCGCCCCTGGAAAAGCACCTTGTCCCCGTGCTGATGGGGATAAGGGCCTCTTCCCCACAAGCCCTGGGGCGTTGGTTGTGGGGGTGCCGGCAGGGGGCTCTTTCACAGGGTACCCCCCCTTGTGAATGAGTAAGGGGTACTTGTACCCTAACCATTCATGAAAGGGTTAAAGTTTTACAAAAGAGGCCAGACTTCTGAAAAAATCTTTTATTTAAAAAAAATTGTTTTTGACAAGTCTTTAAAAAAAAAAAGGATCCACCGATGTAATGCAGCATCAATCACGACGTCCAGCGTTGTCTATGACAACCACCTTGACGAAATAAAAAATTAAAAAATAGAAATAATAAAAGACTACCGCCATCCCGTCCGCTGTGACGAACACCCGCCGCAGAATGGCATTTTGATAATTGCCAACAACAGATAAATGATTTACAGTTGTAACAGGTGAGCCATGATTGGGCAAAGTCTTGCACCTGACCTGTTAATCAGGGCTCACAAGGCACAGTGCCTTGTGCAGGGTGCTTGGCGGGCTGTTCGTCGAACACATGAACTGCCGATGTTAGAGTCGAACATCGAGCCCAACCCAAGTAGGGGATTGATTTCTGGGACTTTGGGTAAACAGGTTAGGAAATCCAATGTGTGCATGGGTGCTGCATGAGCAGAAAGTTGCTGTCGGGGAGATAATACATTTGGAATTGGTTAGATAATATAGAAGGTCAAAACAGAAAGTTACAAGGCTGAATTTCTAAAAGAGTGAAAACACTCTTATGCAAAGGTTCAGCCTTTGCTTGAAATGAACACACATTTCTCTTTACAAGATGGATGCTCTTGTGCTTTTATATGTAATTAATCATTTGTCTGAAACTTCACATATTCCGTAACTTGTCACCGTGGTCCAAAGCGGATTTTTGCAAAGGTTTCATAAAAACAAAGCAAATATGTCAAAAGGTAAAATTAGTATATGGATATAGCAGGAAAAACCCTGGGATATAGGTATATGCCAAGCCTTATATTCTATGCCTTGAAGCCACTTTGAATCACAGATGCCATTTTGACTGTTTCTCAACATTGATAACTACATTGATGGATAAAACCTATTTTAGCTCGCAATAAAAAATTTGTTTCTTCAGTACCAAAAAAGCCTTCTTACCAGGAATTCCGTTTTTAGGCAGTTGATTGTAATGAAGAGCAGCCTGAAGAGCAGCCCGAAGAGCAGCCTGATGCAGAATTGCAGGTGAAGGGAAGTGAGCTTTTACCAGGACAGAGAAAAAGAATTGCACATCCATCAGCAAAATCTGATGTAAGAATTGCCTTTATAGTTCCTAAACTAATTGTTGTGATGCACATTTTGTCTATTTTAGCAGTAGAAACTTAAAAGTTGAGCTTGTTCAATTTAGTTGTGAAAAGACTAATTACATTTGATCTTTAGGTCAAAGAAAGCAGCACTATTCTTGTTCCATTCAGAAGATCTACCCCACACCAAATACCATCCCAAAGGATAGTGCAAGTTCATCAGCAAGCGGTACAGATAAGTTCTGCAGTCAAAAGCGGACAAGCCTTTATAGCTTCATCACAGAAGAGAACTGCCAGCAGCATGTCACCAGCATTTCACACTTTTGGCCAGATGGGTGAGAATATATGAACGGATTAGTCAGTAATTGTTGCCCATTTGTGTTCAATTGAGATTACAGCATGTGATGGGGGAACATCACCGGGTTTTGAACATTTGGTTTACTTATTCAGGAATGTTTCAAACACATGTATGCACTTACTGCTTTCAGTACTTGTTAGTTTTGAATGTGATAACTTTTTTAAATATGTACTTAGATTTTACCGCTTGGGTTACACATAGTCCAAAACCCAGATGTTTAGATATTCTAAGAATCCATACAAATACTTGATTATATGAACATCAGCATATTACTAGAATTTTTTAGAAGACTTTATAGTTCATGTAGTTCATCACAGAGCCGGCTCCTAGGCCGGGGATGGAAAGCAGGAGGAGGATGAACCTTTATTTTACTGGGTCATTACCTCTACCAGACCTACTTGTTTATATTAACTTGTCCACTGGTAATAGATGAGTGCCTGGTGACATGCCTTTAATTAGGGACAGCTATAAAAGGTTAGAGAGTTATTTGGGACTTTCACTAGTGCTGGGGCAATAAAGATCACAGCCAGATGAGTTGATCTGTTTGGTGGACTGTGGAAGGCCTGGCAACTGACTAAATGAAGGCCTGCATTTGCTCTGGGGGACAAGAGAATGCTATTTTTATATTCAGACTTGCACCCCATTGTCGTCACAATGAATACATCTGCCATCATATATAATGGTCTGATGAGTTTCTGACATTGGCAAGCATTGTGTGAGGACAGACATGTTTTTGAGGAGTTACAAAAAATGAACTGATTTTTTTTTTTGTTCAGTTTGTTTCAATTTAGTGGAAGTCCAGCCATTTTTGCCAGCTAGAAGTCAGATAAGTGGACAAGGAAGTACACTTTTCACTACTGTAAAATCTGGTTTCTCTCAAAAAAGAACAATACAGACAACACCAGTAAAGGTAAGACATTTCATTCAAATAATGATAAACCTAATCAAAACTTCTTGGATAGTCTGGTAGACTGCGGCCGGTTGGGAATATTTTGTCTCACTGCCTTTCCTGAGGACACAACAGGATTTGAGTGGAAATGTCCTCTCAGACAGTGATCACTGAGACAGGTGTGCCATTGGAAGACAATCCCTCCTTTTCTAGAGCCAACTATACAATTTCGAAGACCATTGTCACCAGGACAAAGGATGACTCCCAGCGAAGTCATAGAAGGCAATAAAACCTGCAAGAGGTTCTAATTTCCCTTCCCAATCAAAACTAGAACAAAGTTTTACCAGATACAGTAGTAATGAAGGTATACAAACTGTCAAGCTCTTATTGCCATGTCCCTATTGGGGAGATTTCTTTCTGTTAGGATGACATCACAAAGTGTGGTAAACGTTCTCGCATTAGACATGCACACATGTACCAAGTAATCAATTTCCTAATGCAGACCTTGCAGTACAAAGCAAGGTCTGCTTAAAATGTCCAAGCCTTCATCTATCACCTAATGTTCTGCCCCGGGCGCCCATAACTCTGGTTACGCCACTGGCTGGCTGTGTCCTAAATATTCATCCAGGAAGATTCCTGGGCAACGAGGACCCAAAATCTCACAAGAAAACAGTCCAGTCCAAAAGTATTTTCACAAAAACTGAGCTGCTCTGTATAACCAAGGGTCTTGTTGAAAGGAGCATAACCTTGCCCTCGCCTAGGTGCCGTAGGTGGAATACTGGGTTGAGAACCGTATATAAAATCGAAGTTGTGTTTTTGTTTTGTTTTTCCCCTTTCCTTTACAGGTACATTTTGGAAAGACTAACAACCATTGACATTTACAGGGGGAGGGGTGGATGGAATATTATAAGGAGACCTTGCATTTTACTGCAAGGTCTAAAGTGCTGACACCAGGTTAAGAATGATGGCTCTGAATATTGAGCTTTTAAATGCAGGTATTCCGTGGTGGCTTTTGCATTTTTCCTTACAGGGTTTTTTGTACTTTTCTGCACTGCAATAGTAAGATACCTTTAAACCCTAATGTGTAGATTTTTTTCTTTCCTCTTCAAATTTGTGACTGGAATATTTGAGTAAAAGAAAGCTGATAACGAGTTACTTTAATCATTGTTATAATTATGTTTTCGGTTTGTGCTTAGATACCATGCCGCAGAAGGGCATCAGTTATTCCCGAAAGCACTTCTAAAGTGCCTCATGAAACAAGGCAGCGCTACGTTAACTCCTTTGTGGAAGAATTTTTGAAAGAGTCTTCATCCGTCCAGGAAGCCTTTGATAAGGTAGGTCAGTCCTCACAGTTTTAGCTTTTATACTTGAGTAGCGATGTTCAGATACCAGTGCCGATACTTGGCATTTTCACGAGAACTGTCAGGATTGCAGCGGTTGCAGTTGGGACCTGGCTCTGGCATTCCACCACTGTCCTGAAATCATTAGTCTGTATTGTTATAGAAATGGCACCCCATTGCATGAGTAAAACAAATTGCTTGCATTATAGCACACCACAACACATAAATGTGAATACCTATGTTTTGCAATGCGCTACACTGCAAAAAATAGTGCAGGCGTGTTGACAACCTATTCAAAGTAAATGGGTTGCCATAACACAATGTTTAAAAATTCAAGTACAATAGTTATTGCAGTAAAGCTGTGACTGGGCCCTAAGGAAAAATAAGAAATTGTCACCGATGGAAATGAACATACTTAATCCTATGATAACGGTAACATGAAGTCTGGTTGCTGACGGTTATTAAATGTTGTACACAGACCTTATGCTTTGAACTGCCATATATTTAGTGCCTGTGTCAACTGGCTTTTGTTCGCAACATCCACTTGAAGCGGGTCAAATGCACCTGTCAATGAATTCAGAATAATCTCAGGATCATCTCAAACTGATGCTTTTGAGGGCCCTTAATCAAATTAATTAATGTGTTAGGGATGCACCGATACTAGTATCTGTGCCGATACCGAGTACTCGTACTCACCCAAATGCTTCAATACTTACCTTCGATACCGGAACTTCCGGTCAGTGGGAGATCTCCCTCTGACTGCAAGTGCTGAGGGAATATGGAGCCAGCTTACTTTCCAATCAGGAAGTTGGATGGTGGGTAATGTCCCGCCTCCTAAGTTCCTTTCCAATCTGGAAGTTGGCTGGTGGGTAAAGTCCCAGCTTCCTGTTGGCTTCACTTGTTGGCAGGCAGCCTCGCTTCCTAACCAAACAGGAAGCCAGGCAGCATGGCATGACTCACGTCCCAGCTTCCTGATTGGCAAGGAAGCTGGCGTCACTTGTTGCTAACCAATCGGGGAGGCGGGTCATGACATGCTGCCCGGCTTTCTGATTGGTCAGGAATCCAGGCTGCCTAGCAACAAGTGAAGCCGGGTTCCTAGCCAATCAGGAAGCTGGGTGGCATGTCATGACCCACCTCCCGGCTTCCCGATTGGGATCTTTAACACTTTAGATAGGACAGACCGTTAAAATCCAGTTTACAACTGACAATGAGATCTGCCCAAGTCAGTACAGACAGGGTTAACTAAGGCAAACGCCAACTCTTAACATTACATAGCAGGCGAAAACTTTTTAGTTTTGAAGTTTTTAGGAACATTATGCTATGTGAATGGGAACATGTAAAATATAGGCAAGGGGCTATCCTATTTTGGCTGCAAATGTGGAAGTACACTTTAAATAAAGAATAAGATTTGAAGCAGTTATATTTAAAATGTTTAAACAGTATGAGACAACACAATCTGCCCTTAATTGAGCAGCCCACATACCACAAAAAGGACAAACTACAGCAGCACAGGTGTATAGCAAAGATTTCTGGTTGCAGTCGCTTAATAGCCACCATCGAGCACACTGCAGTTGTTGTTAGTGGTATTAGAATACTCACTAATAGTGCTCATTTTGTCCCCTAACAAGCTTTAAAACAACAACCTTATCAAGTCCAAACTCTAGTTGGAAATAATGGCTTAGAAAAAAAAAGTGAAACCCAGCTTGCAGTAAAACTAATCTCAATACTGCAATAAAAGAAAATGCACCAGACAAAGAGATATTGTTTTTTTTTCTCATAGGACACAAATGCTTCTTTTCGTATGGTATAACTGAATATTTGTGGCATATTAAATCAATTGTTTTACCGATGCCTACTATTGTAAACCTAAAAAAAAGTTAAAAAAAGCCAGAGTATCATACAAGCAGGTTACAGCAGAGCCTGGTGTTAGCAAATCGGGGAAAGAGCATCCAATATCCTCCCTGTTTGTTTTTGTTTTAGTTTTGTTTTTTTAAGGTATTTTTCCTTAACATTTTTTGCAGTGAACATGCATATTTAAAAGTACTGTAACATTAATATGCACTTTTGAAAAAAAATGCAACTCCTCCTGCAAACCACTAACCTGCTGCCTCTTAGGCCTCTCTACATGCACAAGGGAGTGCAAATATCCTTACTTTTTGATGGCCTGCAATCGGGAATAGATATATGCTGCAGCTCACTCATATGTGGTTTTGTGGGTTCTAAATATTTGTCATTTTTGTCTACATGCCAGCACAGGTCTACATTGTGCATACTTTGTTTTTAGGAGTTGCAAATTGTGATTTCTTTTATAATATGGCTACACAACATTGGCCTTTGTCATTATTGTCATTTAATTATTTCAATGTGTGGTGTCTTAACGTGTGTAAAGCAACTCTGACACTATAGTAAAGTTTCCAGGAGAGGCTATACTTATAAAAAACGTCAAATATTTGCACCTGATGAGCAGGTGCTTTCTTAGTAAATGTATTCAAACAGATCACGCAGGATTTGGGGTTTTCAGCTGTAGATCTGTTTGCAAACAAAAAGAATGCACAATTTATGCATTCTGTTTCTCTAAATCAGAGGTCTCAAAATACCGGCCCACGAGCTGGTACTATGTGGCCCGCTGACAAGTCAGGAGAGGGGGGGGGGCCTCTATTTTGTTGAGTGTGGGGAGGGAGAGGGGAACCTTTTTTTTTATTTTTAAAAAAATTTTTTTTTATATATATATGTTAAAAAAATTTGTTTTTTATTATCAGTGGGGGGGGGGGGGGGTGTAGTATTTTATATGTGGGGGGAGTATATTATTTTATATATGTGAATATGTTTTTTCCTGCAGCATGGTATGCAATATGATTAAATTTGGTTAGGAATCAATCTCTCCCTGGACGCATTGATTTCTACCCACATGTAATCATATCACATACCATTACATGCATTGTGCAGCGGTTACATGCAGCTCCTGTCACTTGATCATTAACTTGACTGGGTGACAGCTGCCGATGGTAAACGCTTGATTAGGCATTCCTGCTGCAGGAAAACGCAAGTTTCTGACGCAGGAATCACTACTTGCACCTAAACTTACAGATGTGAATAGGGCCGTATTGTGTTTGTATTGGTGTCAGTAGTACCATATCGGATATAGTTAAATTTTATTTCAAAGTATGAAATTTGGCAAGCAGTCCCATGGGAGAAAATATTTTTGTTGAGTGGCCTCCCCGAGTGAATGGAGTTTGAGACCCCTGCTCTAGATCATAGGGATTATGCTGTGGGAGTGGATGCCCTAGTATAGTTGGTCTCGCCTGTTGGGGTTACGTTCCCTCCTTGTTGCAGATGGTTGAAGCAATTTAATAATATAAAGGGTACACAAACAAGTGTTGGGACTTTAGTAAGCTCAGTTTAAGACTCGAGAGATTTTCACCATTCAGGGAAAAGTAAAGGGTTCTTGTGTTAGATTTCGTTTTATAGGAACTGAGAAGATGTTGGCAGAAAATTCCACAAATGCTTTAGGATGAGAGCAACTGTCAAATCATGTTGATGATCATTTTGTATTCTCTTTTCTAGGCTTTAACGGAAGAAAAGTCCATTTATGACCGATGTGGGAGCAAGAATATGTATCTTAGCATAGCTGTTAATAGCCTTAAAAAGCTCAGAGATCAACACAATAACAATGGTAAGAAAATATTTCACATTCTACCTTCAATTCTTCTATTTGTTGATAGAAATGTATTATGTCTTTTTGCCGATAATGGAAACCTCAGCTTACCATAATTTTTCTGGGTGAATTTCCAAACATCGTGCGTTGTGGATTTTTTTTTCTGTCCTTTTTTTCCCCACACTTGTGTCAGGTGAGAGCAATTTTCCTAGCATTGAAAATGCATGCCGATTTTCAATTAAGATAGCAGTGTGCACTCTCATCGCTCTTAGGTTTTTTATCCTTTTGTCTAGATATTCCTATTGCTGTTCGCTCATTCATAGAAGTGTTGCTTGTTCAACAGGACAGTGTTGAAGGAAACAAGTAAAAAAAAAAAAAAAAAAGAGAAAAACATAACTGCAATTGCTGATTTTATTCTGCTAATGTAGGATGTCTGGCTGCCATTCTGACCACCTTGCTGCAGAACAGCCATGTAACTATCAATTGCAGGATGTACTCTCTAGCAGCCCACATAGTAGCTGATTTTTTTTTTTGTGTGCTGCATAAACTGTTGCTCCCGTTGGTATGAACTACTCTGCTGGAGGTATTGAATACGCTTATTGTATGCTTTCATTGAAGACCTGTCTAAAGTATAACAATTTAACATTGTGTACCAATTGATAGAGCTTAAGACTTATTTAATTAGTGAGTGCCCAGACAAAATTGCCTACTCTTCTATGGTTGGTAATCACCAATAATCCCTTGAGCAAATGGTGTGGCCACCTTGCCTGGTGGTAATACAATTTTGCATTTGGTATTTTGGTTCCTAGCAGTGAAGTGTGGTGGGTTTTTTAAATTTTTTTTTTAGATCTGACTTTTTCCTGTTCGAATAGATAGGAGGATATGGATGTGGCTTTCCAGGTAAAGATTTCAATTAAGAACTAATCCCTATGCTATATTTCTGTATCAAAATTTCAGGCCCAAAATATTCAAGCAGGAGGGAAGTAGCTGGTTCACGAAAACAAGATGATAAAAACGGTATGTTACCTTAACGCTACATCTTATTCTAGTGAGAACATTCACATATTTGAATGTTAAACCTGTACAATGTATGTGTTCTTCAAATGAATAGTAAATGATAAATATTGGGGATTGCATTACAATTTTTTACAGATGTGGCTTGGTGTATGTAAACACAAAGCTTTTTTGGTTTTGGATAGAGTATGGCAGTGTCAAAACTCCAATCAGGTTTTTGTGTTCTGTTTCTGCTGCAAACCTTCACACTCTTATTTGTAATGTGACCCCCACCCACCTCCCTTCCTAAAGAAATCTCAAAATTTTGGGAGTTTTAGGAACAGGAGTTGAATTAAATATTCCATGTGTACACCTATTCTGGTGACAATGGCTTAACATGGGCAGTGAGTAGAAATTGTCCTTTCCTAAGATGGGCAGTGAAGGGACACCCCCCAAGGGAAGAAAGAACCGCAAAAAAAACCTGTTATAGTGCGGATGAGGAGTCCTGAATCACCTATTGTTGTGATTGGGTATGTATAGGTAATAGGCAGTATTATGGTCTGTTTCTGCTGGAGAGATTCACCCTTGATATTTGTATTGTGATCTACAGTACAGTAAGCTGGGGAGCATTAGCAGTTTGTTTCCTGGCTCATTCAGTGCATGGTTGGAGAATGGTCAGCTGATCAGAAGTGATGGTGTGCGTGCCCACTAATGTTCATTGCCTACATTAGGAGTGAGATGTTGAATGGGGATGTGCAGGGACTGGAACTGCAGGGTTCTTCACATGTAGGGTTCATTTCTGGCATTACAGTCTCTATTACGGAAGTGCAGGGTGAGTCCCTAGGACTAAAACCAAGGTTTAGAAAGCAGACTGACATGGAGTGGCAGGGTGCCAGGTGGAGTGCACTGAGAAATCATGTGTCAGAGAATACTTTCTGCAAACAGACCTGTGATATTTAGCTTTTTAGCAACTCTTTAATCTGGAAGGGTTTTGAAGAAGCTGGAGATATGTTTTTTTTTTTTTTTTTTTTACATTTTCACTGTTGCTGTATAAGTTTTCATCCATTAGGAAGACTATTGGCGAACACCCCCCATGAAAAAATATCTGTCCCTGACAAAGTAAAGGGAACTCGAAGTTACAGGAGCAGGTCAAGCTTCTTATCTGGGCACATATTTTAGTGACCACTGTCTGAGGGCATTTACTTTCCCTGGAATAGGAGGTGAAGGGAAATCTCCCCAACATATACACAAGATCACCTTTGGTTGCGAATAGGTATGCAAATATTGTTATAAAATGTCATCAGATGCTCTCTAGCATATTGGTGGTTTATGGGTTCATATAAGAATGCACTTGGAGGTAAGAGAGGAAAGCAACAACTGTGTAGATGTCCAGATAAAGTTTTATGTAATGAAGGTAAGTAAACTTGATTTGGCCATTACATCTACAATTGATATTTTCTTTCATTTCTGAATCAAAATAACTGATGGGTCTTAAACCTCCCCTATTCTATCCAAAACAATAAAAAAAAAAGTTTTGGCTTTACATAGTTTTACAGCTCCGTTCTAGACAATGTAAGCAGTGCCAGTACCTGAATTTGACCTGATATCACCCTTTTGCAATGCCTGTACAGCCGGGCAAGAGCCTGATAATAAGGAGCAGTGCGAAGTGCCAATGAGCTAATTTGCTGATTAGGAGCATGCTGATAGGAAGTGGAAACCGTGTAAGAGAGAGGAGTTAATTGCTGTGCTGCTTCTTTTAACTGTCCAGCCACAGGTTGGGTCTGGTTCAGGACGACATGGGTTCAAGGAAAGTGGGTTGAATGATGATGGCCATCAGACTGGGGACATTTAGTGGCAGAAAAAAGTACAGCAGAAATATTTGAAGGTGAAAATCTCAGCAAAAGCCAGGCTTGTTTTTATATGGCAATAGGCTTTTCAATGTTATCTTGCTATTTTTGGGCTGGGGCTGTGAATTAAATGTCCTTTAATCTGTATCAGATTGTTGACTTGACTCTGGTTTTGACACTACCTTGTGAAAAGGTGGTCATAGGACTACAGAAGTAAAAGCTAGTATGCACCTGATTTTTTAATAAAGCTGACATGGTTTCTCTGCAGAATTGACAGGACATACTCTTTACAACTTCCTAAAAGAATACCTCTTGTCTGAGGATCAATTGATAGAAAATGGGTATCCCCGACCAAATCCTGAGAAGCCTGGCAGTGCTTTAATACCGAATGCAGGAGGGAAAAATATAAACAGTGATGGTATGTAACTGCTCATTTTTCTCATTTAAAAAAAAAAAAAGTTTTTAGTCCAGTGGTAGTTAAAGTAGTATTTAACTCTCAAAACTTTTGTTTTCAGTAATGAATCCAGATCAAACAAATATGCATTGCCCAGCACAGTTTCTTTGTAAATGCTTGGATCCAACTTTTTCAGCTCTGCTTTTCGGAACTTCCTGTCCAGTACAAGATCACAAGGGACACTAGCGACAATTTGTTACCAGCTTTACAGCAAAGTGCACATGGAGGGCTTAATACAGTACAACAGCAAAAAGTTTCCCAGCACACTCGCCAGCATGCAAAAAAATCGCTAAGGTTAAAAACAGAGGTTTAGATGCACGTCTTCGGCAGAAAATGTGAAAGCCGCGCCAAGGCACCTCTATATAGTGCGGTCCTAACTCTAAACTATGAGTGTCTCCATCTTGGAGCACATGTGGCAAAAGATCAAATTGGGTGCAGGTTTGTCAGGAGGAAGCCCAACCTCCCTTGAAGGCACAGGGACGCACAAAGGACCCCGCATATCACAACGGCAGCAGAGGCCCCCCATGCATCACTGCACCAAATCAGTCAAGCAAAACAAATGGCAAACGCACTCATCAATTTGTTACAAGCTTTATAGCAAGGTGCACATGGAAGGGCTTAATTTTGATCTTTTGCCACATGTGCTCCAAGATGGAGACTCTCATAGTTTAGAGTTAGGACCGCACTATACAGAGGTGCCTTGGCGCGGCTTTCACATTTTCTGCAGGAGATGTGTATCTAAACCTCTGTTTTTAACCTAAGCGGTGAAACAAGTTTTTTGCATGCTTTCTGGTGAGTGTGCTGGGAAACTTTTTGCTGTTGTACTACAAGGGAGAGGAGTCACCCTAAAACAGGATATCGGGGGTCAGTGCTCAGGGGACCAGCTGATTCTGCAGGAAACTAACATTTTTAAACATCAGGAAGCAGCATCCATTGTAAGTGATTTTTACTCGGCATTTGAAATAGCTTGACTTTTTAATATCACTTTAAATGGTTAGCCATTTAGGAAATGATGTACTATATACTTGGTTCAGGTCAGAGACTTAAAGTGACATTAAACCCTCAGATTTTTTAACATAAACCAATACTGTAATGTGTGCCTTACTGTAATCCATGGTAGTTTTCCTTTCTCTTTGCTGCTCTTCTTTTTAAATCCTCATGTCTTCTCATTCTTGGGAAGAACTTCCCTTTGCAGCTGAGTGCCTCTTCCTGTAGTGCTGGCTCTGGTTGCAAACCTACACACAGACACCATGTATCCATTTCAGATACAAGGCAGTCTGCTGCAAAACAGAAGTTCTGCCCAGCATGAGAACAGATTTAAAAGGAAGAGCAGCAAAGAGAAGTAAAACTACCATGGATTACAGTGAGGCACACATTACAGTATTGTTTTATGTTAAAAAATCTGAGGGTTTAATGTCACTTTAAGAAATACTGATGCCATTGGGTCATCGAGACGGCAAGTAATATTGTATATATTTTTTTTAAAGCTGTACTTTTCTGTCAGGGAGCAAAGACCTATTGTAGATAAAATAGCTGGGCAAATCTAAAAATGATGTGCAAGTGTTTAATAAGAGATTAAAGTATAGACAGTGTTTTTAATTAAAAACAAAAAAAGTTGCTAGTTATGGATCTAATGCTTTCTTAGCTCTGAGACGAGTTTGCTGTCGTTGTGGAGAAGTCTATGCAGTGACAATGCAGAGCAAGCATGTACGTAAAGAAGAGTGCACTTATCACTCTGGCAGAGTTCGAAAACACAGAGGTAAGTGAACTTTGTATAATATAAATTAAATATACTGTATATTGTACTTTATTTTGTTTCTAGTGTTGCTCTTAGAAACAACAGAAAACCTACTGATGTAGTATTGCATTTTTTTGTTTAGTCCCAGGTGGCATGGAAACACGCTACAGTTGTTGTGAAGCAGCAGTGGGAGCTCCAGGATGCCAGATGGCAAAGGTTAGATAAATAATATGCTTGCATGGATGTTTAACCACACTTTGTGTGTGTGTATGGGCAACATAATGCAGTGAAGTGAGACAATTGGTTAGCCAAATATTGTGTTTGGCCAGCATACTGTAACACCTTCTTTCTAGGTGTAAATAATGGTCTGCAATAAATGGCTCCCCCCAGCAAGTTTTCCATAGTCCTGGAAAAGTTGTGGATTGTATATTATGTGGTAGTGTATCCATTTTAGGGATACTATTATCAATTTGAAGCTTTTTTGGTGTGAAGATGCTGATTTAGAATGTTAATTTGAAAAACTTGACATATATATTACTTCATATACCAAAGCGTCGTCTTATATTTTTAATATTCAATTTTAATGAAATGGGGCAATCTGCTTTGTAGAGTTTTGTTGTCTAATTTTGTTTTTATTTTTAGCTTCATGTTCATGAGGGTCAGAAGGAAAATCTTGATGGGTTTATAAAGACTTTCCCAAAACTCCAGCCTTCAGATGAAAATCCCGGCATTTTTTCTGTTGACTGTGAAATGGTAATTGTATTGCTGGTACTTTAAAAAAGGGAAAGCATTTAAGGAGTAGAGTATGGTAACCCTAAATATTGGGCACTGGTGAGTGGATTTGTGCATTGGCGTATTTCATGAGACTAAAGTGGCTTTTCCCACATAGCTCTATTGTGAAACCTGTGATATAGCTGCCCTTTCGGACAAAAGATAGACCCCAAGCTTTCGTTCTTATACTAGCTTTACTTGGTCAGTAACCTGAACAAGTGTGCTGCTAATGAAGGATCAAAAGTATGGGTTTCCATCCTGCATGCTTTTTTCAACTTGGTGACTCAATATGTAGTTCAGCCAGGATCAGAATGACGGCCTCAGAGCTTGCATTAAACAAACCAAAAAAAAACAATGGCAGCTTCCATGATTGTTTCATAGGCTCACTTCAAGGAAAATGTCACTATAGCATCTGCAGTCCCAAATGTTTACATTAGTGGGGGTGCATATTTTGCATTATAGTGATTGGGAGTGAGGCTGGCAATTGGGGTGGTCTATTACCATTGTGATCCATCAGAGCTCAAAGGAAGCATGCAACTCAATTTGGGGGGAAAAACAATGGGGGATATTTATTCAAGCAAATTACTGACACACGTTGGTTTTAAATTGGGCTGCTTCTCCTTCAGATAGTCTCTGCAACAGGCTTATAGTCCCATGCGTCTGTATTCCTGGGCAGCCAAGTGCGACAGCTTACACAATTCAGTCAGCGATTCATTACTGAAGATGAGACACTCTAAACAGACGCAGAACTAAGAAGTGGTCGAGGTCAGGTTTTATTCTGTCTCAGTGCTACTTTAGTGCAATTGAGGGAGGCATTTGAAGCAAGTTGGAACTTTGTAGTCCATTTCTTTGCACAGTCTGTCTCACTTCTGTTTAGTATTGCTTTGCCATGCAACAGCATTGATAAATGTTCCCCAATGTGCTGTTACCTGTGTTCCTATGACAGCCTGTGTTTAACATTAAAGAATATGTAGACAATGGTCACAGGAGAACACATCTCGCAGCACATTTATCTCCTTGCATTTCCAAGCAGTGTAATGTTCATGCGCATGCTCCTTTAAAAAGGGTCCTGTCCAAAAGGGTCTGTAGTATGTTCTGTTCTTTAACATATCAATCATTTTATGTATTTAGTGCTACACTACACATGGTCTGGAACTAACAAGAGTCACAGTGGTCAATCACAGCTTACAGGTTGTGTATGATACTTTTGTGAAGCCGGACAATGAAATAATAGACTATAATACCGGGTATGTATCACTTTAAGTTTCTCTTTTTTATTTTGTATAATGCACCTGTTAGTGTTCATTGGCAATAGTCAGCCATAGGATATCATCTGTATATAGCAACATTAAAAAACAGTCAACTGGGAGATTATTAACTCCGTATGTGAGGAAGATCAATGGGACACGACAATGCATGCACTGTTCATATCAAAGTTTAGTATGGATTTACCAAAAATTTGTGTTTTTTTTTAGTTTGTTTTTTTTACATGCATTCCTATTAAAAAGGGGCCAACAAGCCCCCTATGTAATAGTACCTGTCACTTCCAGTATACTGTTTATAACTGAGCCTCTGATGCCTTGTCTGCCCTCAGGCCATGCTGAGCAGGGACACTCCCCCTAGTTCTGATGTGCTGTTTATCTGGCTGCTGCCATTGTGATTCTAGCAAGGAGAAATTACTTGTAAGGCTCTCATGGTCTTAATGTAGTTATACACCCACAGCTGGGCTATTGGTACATAATACTTTTCATTGGTTTAATCTGCCAATAAATGAAGTCACAAGAAAATTTCCAAGTCCCTAAATATCTCGTGGGAGTACACTTAAAGAAGTATTGGGAGAGTAAACACATACCGGCTCTATATACTGAGAGCTGAGTGATCACCAGCCACTGATTGCTCAGCTCATGGCTTCTCCCTGCAAAGGCTGGTGACTGTCAGTTTCCCTGCTCCCCTCTCTTGCTCCAGCACTCACTGGAGGTATAGACAAGAGGGGACATGGACAGCTGGCTGCGGCTCAAGAGGTGCAATATTATTGGGATCCTTCCCAGCTTCAGCGCGGCTCATCACTTTCAGCATATAGCGGTGGACAACATTACTTTGTAGATGCTATAGTACAAAAGTAGTCCCTGCTGTTGTAAATGGCTTATGATCAAATTATAGTCCTTGCAACCTTGTATTAGAAATCTGCATGTGAACATGTGACACAGGTCCGCAGGTGATATTTGGCTTGAAACTGTCACTTACATCACATCTGAAATGTTGTGAATGTATGCATTGGGTAAGCATGTGGAAACAAACGCTTTGGTTCCCTCAAAGAAAAATTTGAATGATTAATCAAATTGACTTGCCTTGTCCAAATTGTAATTAGAAGAGAACATCAGTCATGGTGGCAGTAAAATTTGCTGTATTGGCAGTAGCAGAGACCCAGATTTCCATATTAATGTTTAAATCAAAATATTAATCATCAGAAGATTAAGGTATTTCAAATGCTGAAAAAGCTCTACAAATGGATGCTGCTCATTGATGATTAGGAGTTTTGGTTCCTGCAAAATCATCTGGTCCTCTGAGCATTGGCACTGATATCCTGTATTAGGGTCGCTCCTTTCCCTTGAAGGTTCCTATGGAGCCACCCTTGTGTGTGCTTGTAAGCTGTGTGAGGGGAATTTATCAAAACTGGAGCAGAGAAAAACTGGAGTAGATGTGCACGGCAACCAATCAGCGTCAACCTCAAGAGAGAAGCCGATTGGTTGCAATGCACCTTTGCTCCAGTTTTTCTCCGCTCCAGTTTTGATAAATTCCCCCCTGTGTTTCTCTGCAAACAGACACAGCAAGTCACTTCCCTGCTCCTCCCTCCTCTCTTCTCCAAGCTAATAGGTGGAGAGTTTATTGCAGAGTTCACTGTCCCCTGTAATCTTGTACTGAACAGGAAGTTAAGGGAAGCTGAGCAGAGAGAGTTGTATGGAAATATGACTAACTGCCTAGGAAAAATTTAAAGAAATTATTTGCTGGTCAATATGTATTTGTTTGCTCTAGATTCATTGTTGAAAAAGAGTGTTGAATACTTCAGGCACATGTAAAATCTCCTCATAGGTTCTCTGGTATCACAGAAGACAATCTGAAGAATAACACAACATCCATTCGAGATGTGCAGGCCATTATGCTGAACTTATTCAGTGCTGATGCAATTCTTATTGGACATAGTTTAGAAAATGACTTGATTGCACTTAAGGTACGTTAAGCTAAACTAACTGGTATTTTGTATGATTCAAGATTTAATAAAAATGATGTTTTATATTTCCTGCAAACCGCTTTTATTCCACACCCTATGTAACCTATGACATCCCCTTGGGTACAGAGATTTAAGGTAACCTGGTATGAGGCAGCCATTGGTGACCTTTCCTTCTCAAAATAGTGGTTGCCTGGCTGTCCTATAGATCCACTTGCTTTTAATAGTCACAATAAACATGTAGATAAGGATTTCTAAATTTTGGCTAAATTTTCTGCTCTGTATACTTGTTCTGGGTCAGTGATGTTTGTATGGAAAGGAAGCTATCATTTTCAGAAGCAGGTCAGCGATAATTGCATAAGTATGTTTACCATGGTAGGTCTACTTTTAAAAAGCCCTTCCTTCCTACACCACCACAGTGCATTTCTGCCCTGGGGCAAGAAAAAAAAAATGCACTAAGGGTGTGTGGTAGCACAGGAATTTATATGCTTCAGCCTGTCTGATTAAGTTGAAAGGTAATCCTGCTAATGAAGGGTGTTCTTAGAAATTGTTTCCTGAAAAAGGAAATACTAGTATGTGTAACCAGGTATGTATTTTTTCGTTTTAAAAAGCCTTTGCAAGTTAGATTAATAGCATTTAAAAAATGTGATCATTTGCCTTTTTACCAAATCTTTTTGTCTTCCATTAGCTTATTCATGATACAATTATCGATACTTCAATGGTCTTTCCACACAGACTAGGCTTGCCTCATAAAAGAGCACTGAGATATTTAATTGCAGACTACCTCAGACGTATCATCCAGGATAATGGTAAGAACCTTTTCAGAGCGCCAGGGAATTCTCGGTGTCTCGGTGGTAGAGATGTATTTTTAGGTTTTTTTAGTTTTTTGTTTTTTAATTTATTTTAATCTTCTTGAACTCATTTTAGAAATGAAAGTGTTTAATGGAGATAGTCTCTCAGTAGACTGTAAAAATACATGGCTAAATTGGCTAGTGTCTGGCGGGTACTAGTATTTTCCATTTCTATTTTCCAGTATGTTCTGACCTCCTTGCAAGGCACCTTATCCCAATGTTGAAGGAAAAGGGCCTCTTCTCCACATCCGATCTCCAAGAGAAAGTGGTGGGCCTTTTGGGAATTTGGAAGCCTGTTTTAGAGCAAGGAGGCCCCTAGATATCTACCCACTACCCAGGGAAATAAGCTATTATTAAAAAAAGTAAAAAATACTAAAACATGCACAAAGTTCCTAAAGAAAAATGTAAACCACATTCCCCCCAATGTAAATCAATCCATCAATCACATTACCCAGCAATGTAATTTCAGCATTAATCACTACAACCTGTTGCCGTGCGATGTTTCACCACTGCTACAACAACCTGCTATCCAACAATGTTGCCCTGCTGCACTACTACCGCTAAATGATAGAACTCTGACGCTGCTAGAATGTAAACAGTGCCTGGAATTCTTGGGATATCCTAGACCAGTGGTGGCAAACCTTGGCACTCCAGCTGTTTTGGAACTACAAGTCCCATGAGGCATTGCAAGGCTCTGGCAGCCACAGACATAACTCCCAGAGGCAGATGCATGTTGGGATTTGTAGTTTTGGAACAGCTGGAGTGCCAAGGTTCGCCACCACTGTCCTAGACCAAATGTGGCAGGCATACGTAAATGAGAAATAAGAGACCTCAGTCTAAAAGGTCTGTCCATCAGTCTGCTATCTTAATATGCTCTAATTTTCAATAATGCCTTGTTTTAAATAAGGCAAATGGGGTTTTGGGATCTCTAAAAAATGGATTTAAAGAAGGCAGAAGAAGGCTTATTCCTTGCAAGTGAGTGGTAGCTTCACTGCAAGGGTTAAGTGATCATTTTGGTCTAGGGTCTAAAATAGCAGATATACTCACTTGACCGTCGATCACGCCTGGCTTCTAAACCGGTCGCTGCCACCTCTCGCCTCCGCTCTAGTGATGAAATGTCTCTCGGAGTCCTTACAGGCTCGAGGTTCAGGTGAGTATCTTTATTTTTAGACCCTGGACCAAAACAAGCACTTAACCCTTGCAGTGGGGCTACCCTCACACTCCCAGGTTTAAGTTTTCTTCTGCCCAGAGTTCTTTTTAAATCCATTTTTAGAGATCACAAAACCCCATTTGCCTTATTTAAAACAAGGCATTATTGAAAAAGTTGCTTGGAGGTATTATTGAAATAAAATATCAATAGAAACTGTATTTTTGTGCTGTAGCCTTTTTCAATTTGAAAATACTTGAAAACTTTTCTCCCCCAAATACACTTTCCATGGACTTGCTTCCATGTGCAGATTTGTCAACCCCCACCTGAGTACATTTTGCAAAGTGTGTGTGGGGGGGGTGGGTGGAGGTTGAGTTGCCTGACATGAAAAGCTCAAGCCTCTCTTAGTGGTGTCTAGGCTCGATGTTCAACTTGAACATTGGCAGTTCCTGTATTCAGTGAACACACGGACTGTGCCCCACAAGCAAGGCACTGTACAGTGCCTTGTAAGCCCTGATTGGCTAAAGCCTTGCACCTGACTGCAGGTCAGGTGCAAGACTTTGCCCAATCGGGGCACAGTACTCTGTAAGATTGGGCCCAATCATGGCTCATGTCGTACAACTGTAAACAAACTGTTACCGCTAGCTCCGCCGAATTGTTTATATGTTGCCGGTATCTGTCAAAATGCCATTCTGCGGCGGGAGTTTGGTGCGGACTGGACGGCGGGCGTCTTTTTTTTTCTTCCCAGTTTTACTTTTTATTTTGTCGTAGACAACGCTGGACGTAGTGATTGACCCTGGATTATGTCGGTGGGGCAATTTTTTTTACAATAAAAGACTTGTTAAAAAGTTGTCCTTTTTTTGGTGTTTTTTTTTTTTTCCCCCTTCAAATAAAGGATTTTTTCAGAAGTCTGGTCTTTTTAATTTACAATTTATTTTAACCCTTTATTGTAGGGGTACTCTTACTCATTTACAAGGGGGAGGGGCCGCATCTGGGTGCGCACACCACCGGGTCAGGGTTGTGGTGAAGAGGCCCTTGTTCTCATCGGCACAGGGACTTTTGCAAGGTGCTTTTTCAGGGGTGACCGAGGGCATGTGGCCTGGTATTGGAGGCGGGGTGGGCTCGCTTGTCTCCCCCCCCCCCCCCCCTTCGCACACCCCACGG